TTGCAAAGAAAATATCGGCATTCGCTACACCAGATTGACTTATCAATACAAAGTGATGCCGTTTGGTCCGAAGAACGAACCAGCAACATTCCAGAGACTCGTCCACAATGTCACATCTGGTCTTTATTGTGTCGAAGCTTACATGGATGATGTCATCAACAAGCAGTTGTCACAGTTGTCGCTGCAAATTATCAAATCAAACTTAAAGAGTAATGAAAGTGAAGGTCGTAGTTTAAGATGAACTTAAATATCAACAAAAACATGAGCAGTCAACCTTTCTTGATATCTTGATATGTAGCTGTTCAAACACACAAATATTTTCAAAACTCACTTTGACCTTGACATGAATGTCATGGTGTATGAAATATGCAAAAAATAGTAATAGAGAAATTGCTTATACAAAAACATTCAAGAAAAGTCTTGAAAGTCTATGAAGAAGATATAGTGAACCGTTCTTGAGTTATCTTTCTGACAATCTTAACATACTGAAATCTTCAAAGTGTCGCTGTGACCTTGAACATAACGTGAAGGTCTCCAAACTCGACTGGGCCCCGCACCTTTCCTATATGAAGCCTGGTTTTAAATATGATGAAATCTAGTGATTGGTTATTGATATATCTCGCGGACAAGTTTAACATGCAGGTTAACATGCTGAAATCTTCAAAGTGTCATCGTGGCCTTGAAAATTAAGTGAAGGTCACAAAATTCGACTAGACCCTGCACATTCACCAGATGAAGTTTGGTGTCAAATATGAACAAACTCCAGTGAATGGTGCGGAGGGGAGCGTCTCAAAATCTATTCTGAATGATCTGTGACTTCGCCATCAGTGGCATCACAGCCAGAGCTGATGGAAAGAACAATTGGTGCGACAGTTGGAGACCATCACGAGACCAGCAGCCTGCTACAATTTCATTGACAACCTTAGTTACACAGTGTTGCCAGATGTCAACAGTGATTCTACCCCCGCGAGTCGGTCACCAAGGCCTCAACCTCACATAATTTAAACGTGGTATTTGATCTTGCAACGTCACCTTTTAAAATACCCCATATCATCTCGGTTGGATTTAGGTCACAATGATATGGTGGTAGCCGCAATATTTCATGACCTTAACTCTTAATGTAAGTGTCTACTTTGTATACGGGTCTTGTTTGTGGGTTTTGATGATTGCCTACAGCTGAGGCTTCGTTGCTTTCGACGGATACGGGATGTTGAATGTTTCTAGCCAAGCAGTTATATCGCCCTTGTGATTGTTAGACGGCGGAGTTTTGCTGTTTGGATCCTGCACGCTGTGGTATAACGCATTGTCCATGACTTTTAGGGACTTACTTGGCAAAGTTGGAAGTAACTTATTTTGAACCCACTCGAAGAAAACGTCTCCATTCATCTCTGTATGGTAGTCCCTATTGTCTTTGGCCTTGGCTCTGAACACCAGATCACAACCAGGTAGGAAGCCCTGGCTGGCGCATCCAGCATGGGAAATAATCAATCTTTCCCCCTTCCCCAGCGGCAGTTTCCACCGTGATGTCTTATTCCCATCGGGTACCCATTGACTGCTGGCGGTATGAGACGCATTTACCCAAGTCTCGTCAAGATACACCGGCTCATACCCTGCATCACGTTTTTTTCTGGATAGTCCTGAGAAAATGCTTTCTCAAACGTACGATATCTGATCGTTCGCACAATACTCTCCTGTTCTCTCCTGCTATCTTTTGTACCTATACCCGAAAGAGTCGCCATAGTGTGTATTTCGTTACTGACAAATTGTTTTGGTTTTCAAAGTGTTTCTGTAATACTTTTAATGACATGTATTTGTTTTCTGAGTACAGTTTAGTGATTGCCTGTCTGACCTGGTTCTTCTGGAAGTTGTCTAATTTATTAACCTTTGATGCTTTTGACATGCCCCCTACATGCGTTGTGGCGACAACACTGTCTCTCTTCTGTATTATATGTTTCAATGCCCGTGTAGAAACTCCCAATGCCTTGGATGCACTTTTAATATATCTATCGATGGCATAAAACGGCCTCCCCCTTTCCGCCTCAGCGCGAAAGAAATCTTACACTTTAATTATCAACTTTTTGTCTGTACTGTGAACTTCATTTCGTCATCGGCACACAGCAGTTATCACGAAATGCCCGTGCATCAGATGCCAACGCGCCAACTGTCAACAATCATATTTATAATAATGATTATTGCAGAGAATTTTCATATTGCGATATATAATAATAGTTTGTTAAACAACTTGATTTTTCTGTGATGCATGACAATTTCTAATAGCTGAAAAAGGTGGTTGGAAGTTATAGGTTATTCGATCAGCGAACATCTTGTTTTCCTCGTAATATATTCTTTGTTAAACCTTTTTCTTAGCTAAACTGATATATTTTTAGCAATTCATCTGATATATTTAGCAATTCATCGGGAAACTTTCTCGTCAAACAGACTGTAAAATTGTTTTTGCTTGAGGTGAGGTGAGGTGAGGTGAGGTGAGGTGAAATTGGGTTTAACGTCATACTTAAGAAAAAGTCGCTTATATGACAACGTCATCTGTGTGTATGCGTGGGGGCGGTGGGGTAGCCTAATGGTTAAAGCGTTCGCTCGTCACACCGAAAACCCGGGTTCGAATCCCCACATGGTTACAATGTGTGAAGCCCATTTCGGGTGTCCCCCGCCGTGATGTTGCTGGAATATTGCTAAAAGTGGCGTAAAACCAAACTCGGTCAGTCAGTCAGTGTATGCGTGGCTGTTTTTACTAGCCCAGACTTAAGCTGGTTTTATAGTGCCAGCTCACAGAGATACCATGCCGCAGTGTAGCACTAATACCCAACGCTGACTGTAGATGATGGAGATGATCAGTGATTTTACTTGCACATAACATGGATTGACTACAGATGTTACGTGAGGTTTTATTCTAGTTGCTTTCTCATAGTGTTGTTTCAAAGACTTCATACTTTCCCAGATCCAAATTCGAATTGTCTCCAGAATTGTCTTGTGCGTCGTGTGAGGAGATAAACAGGCCTGGTGATTTGGTTGATGCATGTTATATCTCGTATTCACAAGATATTATTGAAGTATAATTTAAACCAAAAAAACGCACTGGATCAGTTTCGATTTACGATGCTTTTAGCAATATCCCAGCAATATCCAACGGGGGTACACAAGGAATGGGCTTCACACATTGTACACCAAATGGGGAATTGAACTCAGGTCTTGGGCGTGACGAGCGAATGCTTACCACACCGCCCCAATAACTCGCTGATATTATACCAGGAGACTAAATAGATCAGTTGAAGTTCTGTGAACTTTGTTCATAATATGAAAACACTATTTGGTCTTGTTAAAACTATTTACAGGAAGACACCATATAGCAGGGATAGTGTCGCAAGGGGTGTTTAACAAGAAACACTCATTCCTGGTGCTTATCAGAGAGGAACCTCTTCAAAGTCGACATGATGAGATTGTTTCCTGTTTCCCATCACCGGACCGGGTAAATTTGCTGAGGGATATCTTTCTTATGTTGTACGTTCATTTCTCAAATGTTCCATTGGCCGTCATATCTCATTTTCTAAAACATTCTATGAATCATTTCAATGAGTTTCAATGCAAGACCATACATTAGTCTTTCTGTAAGGTTAAGTAAGTTTAGTTTTACGCCGCACTCAGCAATATTCCAGCTGTATGGCGGTGGTCTGTAAATAATCGAGTCTGGACCAGACAATCCAATGATCAACAGCATCGTTCTACGCAATCGGGATACAATGACATGTGTCAACCAAGTCAGCGAGCTTGACCAACCGATCCCGTTAGTCGCCTCTTACGGCACGGATGGGTTACTGAGATCAATTCTAACCTGGATCTTCACGGGTCTGTGTGCTGGTAATACAAATGAGTATTTACTGTTTGAATACACAATTCCCTATTCATTTCCAAGACAGAATGGCTATGGCAAAGATGATGATAGTAAAGTTCCCTCAAATGGCACCCTTGCTCACAAAAATCAAGATCGAACTGTTTGCAAACATTTTGATATAGATATATTTAATTTCCCCTTACACTTAAATGGTACTTTACCTCGTGGTAAAGATGGAAGGCTGTTTATGTTAGGTTGTAGCGTAAATATGCACTCACTGTCACATGAAGTGAGTTTTATGGTCGGATTCTCAGACGATTTGACTTGTTTAATGGCGTCTTGTCCAGTTTCAATTATTCACAAACAATTATAGCTGGAATGTTGCTGAGTGCGGCGTTAAACAACAAAATCCAAACCAGATTTATGTAATTGTTATAATGCCCGGTGGGACCAAGGAGTAGGTCCAAATATAACGTCGCAATATGGCTGAAAAATGCCGATACGACGTCAATTTTGAACTCACTCCAATTAAAACATTTCACAATGCATGAAGGGCACCAGCAATACAACTCAGTTACGTTAACATAAGGAATAAGTGAAAAGGATTTCGAAAAACTTTCTTCGGACATGAGTGAGTTCAGTTTTATGCCACACAAAGCAATATTCCAGCTATATGGCGGCGGTCTGTAAATAATCGAGCCTGGACCAAACAATCCAGTGATCAATAGCATGAGCATCGATCTGAGCAATTGGGAACCGATGACATGTGTCAACCAAGCCATTGAGCCTGACCACCCGATCCCGTTAGTCGCCCCTTACGACAAGGATGGGTTACTGAAGGTTCATTCTAACCCGGACCTTCACGGGTATCGGACATGAAGGGCACCATAATTATGAAATTAAATTATTTATTAAAAATGTGACTTAGTGAGTTTAGTTTTATTCCGCTTTTTTAGAATTATTTCAGCAATATCACAGCGGGGGACACAAGAAATTGGCTTCACACAATGTATCCATGTGGGGAATCAAATCTGGCTCTTCTGCGTGACGAGCGAACGCTTTATCCACTAGGCTACCCAACCGCCCCTTTCGTGAAAAGGGTAAACAACAAAAACATAAAATAATAAATTTGAGACAAAAACAAAAGAAAACGGAATGAGCTGTAACACGTAAGAGTCGTATTACGTTTAATTGCCTTGTATATCAGGTCATCCCAAAATGAGACACGGGCATGGTGGCACAAGACAGGTGATAGTTTTACAATCCGGGTGAGGTACCACCTTGTCGATAATGTCGCCCAAAAGCTTCTCTCTGGAAACAATGTTTGGTCAATTATGAGAACATACATTCAAATAAGGTACTGTACTCTTTCTCTTTTAACCTTAAATATTAGGGGTGGGTATTGCAGAGAATTTTCATATTGCGATATATTGCGATGCGGAAGCATACATTGCGATATGTATTGCAATATATTGCAAGGATTATTTTTTTAACAAAAACTACTTATAATCGAGTTAATGATTGATTATAAAGCAAAAACACAACAAAATCACTATGATTGATTAACCTTTTATAAAACTTTTCATCATGACAAAATAAAAATGTAAGTAACATTTGGCACTAATGAAACAGGGAAAAGAACAATTCAAAAAACGGAAATATACGAAGATTTCCGAGTGTTACGAAGTTTTCCGAATGCATGTCAAAATACCGGTTTTCGATCAGCGTATCGCAATACGTATCGTTTTCATGTCTGAACAGGTAAATACCGGTAAACCGGTTATATTGCGCAGCCCTATTAAATATCATCAGAGATATTGAAATTCTATGTTTTATATATCGTCACAATACTATTTTTAGAATGTTTGACCCGTGAAGGTCCGGGTTAGAATGAACCTTCAGTAACCCATGCTTGTCGTAAGAGGCGACTAACGGGATCGGGTGGTCAGGCTCGCTGGCTTGGTTGACGCATGTCATCGGTTCCCAATTGCGCAGATCGATGCTCATGCTGTTGATCACTGGATTGCCTGGTCCAGACTCGCTAGATACAGACCACCGTCATATAGCTGGAATATTGCTGAGCGCGGCATAAAACTAAACTCACCCACTCACTCACTAATACCAAATCAAGGTTGGTAAGGTAATATTGCTTAATAATTGTGCAACTATGCTCGACAACTATAAATAAACTACGGGATCAAAGAAAGTTATCACTAAATCATTGTATAGCAAACAAACACTGGAAACCCACATTAACTCGGTGCGCCCAATGACTGCAAGGGTTGTATGATCCCCAGGGAGTTGAGATTGAAAATACAATGTGCCGTTAGAGATTGACATCCAATGATCGAGGGAAAATTAAAGCGCCTTTGAGCAGCGCAGCTGAGCTGAATATTGGCGCTGTCCTAATATATATTAATAAATAATAAATAATACAGGTTTGAATCCAAGCAGAAAACATTCGCCAAAAGGCAATATGGTTCCAGTTCAATCACACATTTTGATACACCTACACTAAGATATAACATTGGGGTTGTTTGCGGTCACTAAATACTATTTCTGTTATAATCCTATAAAGCCCCAATGGTGTCATATATATATTGCCTTTTATGCCATATGTAAATTATTTGAGAATTGAAATGAAATAAAAATGATTTTTAAAAAAACAACAACTATTTTTGATTGTGCCATTAACCTGTAATATGGAAACTACGTGAACCTGACTGCCACTGTCAGCATGGTGTGTCCTGCATTATTCCGTCAGATGGAAGGTTACACAGTAAAACCGTCATTGTGACATTTAATGCATGTTTACATGATTATCAAAAGCTTAAGGTTACTAAACCTGACCCGTGAAAGTCCGGGTTAGAATATTGACCTTCAGTAACCCATGCATGTAGTTTTGTTGTTGTTTTTTTGTTTGTGTTTTGTTTTTGTTTTGTTTTTCTCTTTCCACCTTCCGACCAGGCCAAATATATGCTAGGTAATGTTAAATTAATAAAACCCTTAGCTGCATTAGTTACTAAAATGTTTAATAGACGTAAACGCACTTTGTAGTCATGTAATTAAATATACCACACTCCACTGTTGCTTAGAGAATTGTGAGATTCTATTCTGTTTTAGGTAGAATGTAGTGGCTTGTGTCTCACAGGCCAGATGTTATATTAAGGGTCTTATGGTACAACATGTTACACACAAATTATAACACTCTTTCTTCTTGGTAACTATTTGTAAACGCAGTTTGTAGTCATGTAATTAAATATATATACCACACTCCATCGTTGCTTACAAAGCTGTGATATTTTATTTACTACTATCTGTTTTAGATATAATATAGTGCCTTGTGTCTCATAGGCCATATGGCCGGATGTTATATTTTATTGAATGTTTTAAAGTTTATGTATGTTTTATATATGACATGTGACACACAAATGAATATATTTTCTTCTTCTTCTTCTTCTTCTTCTTCTTTCTTCTTCTTCTTCTTCTTCTTCTTCTTCTTCTTCTTCGTCTTCATGTTGTAAGGGGTGACTAACGGGATGACACTAACGCTGACTTGGTTGACACATGTCATCGGTTTCCAAATGCGCAGAATATTGCTAAGTGCGGCGTAAAACTAAACTCACCCACTCACTCACTTACTAAACCTAGGCTATAATATTAACATATTTAGTGTAGGGCTGTACCGATGTATCGAACTATCGATGAATTGCAATTGTTGAGTTTCCGATAGCAATCGATTGTAGAAACTAAAAATTATCGATGCATCGATAGTAATGTGTGACAATCGATAGTTTAGTAACTGACCTCCGTTGATAAATGCGCAGCGTAAAATACAGGAAGTACCAGATTCGTTCGCTTTGATTTAGAATTATCCGCCCCTGTTATGTTTTAACTGTTTATTTGATCTGGGTTTAAAGTTTCTTGTCAGTTATTAAAAGAGACTGAAACTATATGAACTTGTTTCTATTTCATATGAACTATACATTCATTTGGGAAATGACTTCAAATGAGACAATTTAAGGAGAAAAAAAACTACTGCAATAGTATTGCAATAGTTGGTCGCAATAGACAATCGCCTATCGCAATAGTATGTTGCAATAGTTGTTCCCCCCTCAATTGTCACCCCTAGTAAATACCCTGATTGCCTGGCCCAGACTCTTTTTATACTGGCAGATATTGGTGTATGCTATTTCACACTTACCCATGGCAGGAGCTGTTGTTGCCAAGACAACCAGTGACAAAACAAGAACGATCAGTATGAGAACTTTCATTGTGCTGGAAGCAAAGGCAATATTCACAATTATACATTAGTTCCGTTGTGTGTTGGGGAATTAAAAATTCACTCATTCACTCACTCATACAAAGTGGTACACATCCGAGACCAGCTTCCCTCCATTGAAATAACTGGAATACTGCCAAAAGAGCAGCGTTAAACTCAACTCACTCACTCACACTCATAGTGGCTAAATGTTTGGAAAACATTGCATAGACCCCTCTGTGTTATTACGCAAGACTTACATTCATGCCCCAACCATTCAGTTACAAACACTATAAGTTGCATGCTTCTCTCGAGGGTAATACGGTTTGATGTCCGACTCTTTGTAACAGTGCCACCCGAGCCGGTAGGCGAGGGATATGACACTGCTACAAAAAGGCGTACATCAGACCGTATTACCCGAGGGAGAAGCATACAACGTATTTATCTTACCGCCATGTTAAATGTACAAAATATCATTTTATTTTATGTTAAAGATCGCTACCGACTATATGACATGTAAACAAAATGGCGTCTGCCTCTCGACTAGATTTTTAAAATGAGTGAAACATATTCTGACAAGCTTAAAACTGCTATAAAAATGTACAATATGTACAAAATAGTTTAAATCTAGCAGTGAAAGTCGGTAAAATAAATCTGTACAAAGTGAACTCAAAAACAGCTGATCGAACGGTTTTCGAAAACCGATCACTGCATGCGTCATATTATGACGTCATACGATTGTTAGCGATACAGCTTCTCGGCGGAGTGTTTGGCGGTTACCGTGGCAGCGGGTAATATTTTTTTCCAGTTGTCAACCTCCTGGGAGGGGTGACACGGAAACTTGTTAAAGCGTCATTGACCAATGAAATTAAAGTATTTCACATGAAGGTAAGATAAATGTAATTGGTACACATTACATAATGTCCTTTTGTTCTGTTTACACAAAACCTACCTTGTCCTTTGAGGATACATTACAAATGCACCATCTCTGATAAATGTTATTTTTAATATTTGAATATGTGATGCAAAAGAACCATACCTGTCAGACATCCACCACTGAGTTTTGAGGCTCCGGGGTATGTATTGTTTATATAATAGCTCCACTCCCTATAGATAAAGAAGTGACATGTGTTTTGTTCCCATATAATTGGTAACCGGGTTGTAATTGAAGATCCGGGTTAGAATTGACCTTCGGTAACCCATGCTTGTCGTAACAGGCGACTAACTTGGTTCACACATGTCATCGTATCCGAATTGCGTAGATCGATGCTCAAGTTGTTGATCACTGGATTGTCTGGTCCAGGCTCGATAATTATCGACCGCCGTCATATAAAGATGAACTACACTCACTCACACTCACCATATAATTGGTTTGCGTTAACTTTAACTTCACTCACTCACATTTCCATCAGTCACGACATTTGAAAATGCATAAAATATTTAACATATGTATATTCACTTTTGTGCTGTGAGAAGGAACTGGCAGGATTTCAATCCTGGTGCGTATGGATTTCCACACTGAAACCAAGTTCAGAACCAAACTTGTACATGCAAAAGCGCACGGTGAGAAAAAATAAAATAGAAATCAATTTGATATTGTATTATCAAGTCAACTACAAATGTATGTTTAAGTAGAATACTAGAAAAAATGCAATAACAGAAAATCATCACAAACGTACCCCAATTTTTAATACAAAAGTATTATTATTTATATTTTAATCGCGAAAACAGTTGCTGCTGTCTTAGCTTTGGCCATTATGGATAGTCCACTAGCAAGTCCGTGACCTTTTACACTCGTGACGTCATATGTGACGTCATAGGTCGGCCAAAGTGCATAGCACCAAGCCGTGTAGTTCTGTAAACGGCCTTTTTTCTGTCGTTTTTATTATTGGTAAGATGGGGTACTGTGTTGCCTGTGGTTGCACGGTGTCATTGAACAATTGATATAGGCACCACGGACTAGATAAATAGTTTGGGCGGCAGTTTTCGATCGACATTACAGTGGACTGTTGATTTAGTACAAAAATAATTCGTGCTCATTTCATAATATTCCATTTATAATACATCATTACTTGTTACAACTTCCAACCCGTGAAGATCCGGGTTAGAATTGATCTTCAGTAACCAATGGGAACAACCGTTAGAGGTAATACCACTGTACATCTTCCATCAACTCTTACCCGTGAAGATCCGAGTTAGAATTGGTCTTCAGTAAGCCCATGCTTGTCGTAAGAGGCGACTAACGGGATCGAGTGGTCAGGCTCGCTAGCTTGGTTGACACATGTTATCGTATCCCAATTGCGTAGATCGATGCTCATGCTGTTGATCTCTGGATTGTCTGGTCCAGACTCGATTATTTACAGACCGCCACCATACAGCTGGAATATAGCTGAGTGCGGCGTAAAAGTCAACTCACTCACTCCATCAGCTCTTCGTATTACCATTCTCTCACGTTAAATAATGTTTGGACATTTGTTGAGATTGCTCACATCACATTGATTGTAAGAAACAGACACTTTCTGTCCACATTACTATTTCCATATCCAATATTTTCAATTTGACATTAACCCGTGAAGATCCGGGTTAGGATGGATCTTCAGCAACCCATGCTTGTTGTAAGAGGCGACTAACGGGATCGGGTGGTCAGGCTCGCTGACTTGGTTGACACATGTCATCGTATCCCAATTGCGTAGATCGATGCTCATGCTGTTGATCCCTGGGTTGTCTGGTCCAGATCCGATTATTTACAGACCGCCGCCACATAGCTGGGATATTGCTGAGTGTGGCGTAAAAAGTAACTCACTCACTCACCGTTACAACTTCCTATCAGTCGTATTTTGAATATTGATTAAATCAACTCCGATTGTGATGAAATATAGGGTATCAAAATCAGTAAGCGATTTCTCATATGCTTGACAATCTTTTTCTATGACGTTCGTTCCAGTTTGGAGACCGAAATACGGCAGTCTACCCGAAAAAAAATCATTATCAGACTCGCTGTTTGTCAGCAGTGTGTGCCGTGAAAGTTGTCCTGTATCCTCATTGGCTGGCCTGATTCTAAGGTTATGACCTCGCACCATAACTATTTCCATGAGCTAAACTTAGGGAGATATACATTGTTCTGACAAGTATTTTTTAATTCACCACATTTCGGGACATAAATTACCTGCGTCGCTTATATTAGGGCAGTATTTTTATTTTCCGTGTTTCTCATCACCGACCCTAATTTCATTTCCAACCAAACATGTTTTTCTTCCATTCCAACACCGCCGAAAAATCAGAGTTATGTCCCATGATGTTTGCTGCTGGCATAGCAGACAAAAACGAAAACAAACATCTGGCCTGTTTTGAAGTATCACCTTCATATCCCTTTAAAAGGAGTAGTGCCATCATAATTTGATAAGCTTTTGAAAATTATGAACTCTATAAACTCATTCAAGCACAATAGATTTGTATTAAATACACTGGTCTCTAATATTTGACTTTATATAAGGGCAGACTATACTGTTGTTTCGTTGATCTTAAAGCTACACTGGATTCCATCAATAAAACAAGTTTGATGTTTGACCTGTGGATTAGCAATGTCAAAGGTAAAGTTTTTAATGATACCCAACTATAGTCCGTTTGATTTCATTTCAGACTGATGAATTGCTCACTAACACAAAATCCAATAATTGCAACAAAACCAAATGCAATCGACAAACCAACTCTGGTGATTTGTCTCATAATTTTGGCCACGAAGAAAAAGTTGTTTAACCGATCATGACTTTGTTATCAAATACAATTCTAAGGAAGAATATAGTATGCCACTCCATTTTCGGGTCCAGGAATTTTGAAGGGGAGGTGGGGGAAGAGTTCGAACCCCTGAACCCCCTTGGCTCCGCAACGCAATAACAAAATCTTCAATGTGGTCTTAAGTCATTTTCAAAAGGGGGGTTCGAACCCCCTGACAAACCCCACCCCCCATTTGGATCCGCCCATGCACTCTCTGTGTGTGTTACATACCTGTTGTGCTACTTGTATAATAGGCCGGTGGTTCCCTTTCTGTAATTACGTCAGTAATGTAATATTGTAGGCAACAAAGTGTAACTCACGATATCTCTTTATAACTCTGATGAAAATTGGAAGTTATATCAATGTTTTCTTCTGTTTGTTCGTTTATTGTTAAACGACGAACTCCGCAATATTCCACCTATATGACGTCTGTATGTAAATAATCGAGTCTGGACCATACATCTCAGTGATAAACAGCACAAGTATTAATCTACGCAGTTGGGACACGATGACATGTATCAACCAAGTCAGCGAGCCTGACCACCCGATCTAGTTAGTCGCCTCTTACGACAAACAAGGGTCGTTCAGTTCGAACCCAAATCTTCCTGTGAACAAGTCAAAACATTGATTACACAACAGTCTCGTTTCCTGCTGACTGTGTTTCGTCTTACCGCGCGTCGTGCAGCGTTCACTGTCGTACAGAGTGATCTGACAGACGGAAATCTGGAAATCGTGGAAATCTCAAAACGAGGCTCTGCCGCTAGAAATGTTTGGCGGTCTGATACGGAATTGATATTATATCAGTCACATTGTGCGTTACAGAACTACACTGAATAAGCGCAAAACACACATAACAGGTGTAACCAGTGAGCCAGATGCATTGTGAATCATTTTACGACCTCATCAAACATGGGCAGTCTGTGACGTCTTAGTTAAGGTCAGGCTGCCTACACCTCGCCATAAAATATAGAAAAACGATGTTATTAAAGTTTAAAACTAAAATTAACTTGTAAATACCATTTTCTTATGAAACAAGGAATTGGAATTCAGTGTAACCATAGTGGTGGTGGCTCTTGTCACTTTTACACGAGAAAATACGGATCGGCTGAAAAGTAGGTCATTGTCTGAATAGGTTAATGAGACTCATGTTTCGGTTTGGATATTTTGTTCATTTCATCTGCAAAATCAATCTCTCTCTCTCTCTCTCTCTCTCTCTCTCTCTCTCTCTCTCTCTCTCTCTCTCTCTCTCTCTCTCTCTCTCTTTAATTTTCCTTGATCTTGACAGGGTTTTATAAATTGCATGTGCTTATCATGAATTTAGAGCTATTTTTAGTCACGATATGGCTGAAATATGTCCGATGGACTATAAATTTTAACTCACTCACAACATCCTGTGAGGACGCCGACTCGGTATCGGTCCCCAGTAACCTATGCTGGCCGAAGAGGCTCGTCACGCTGAAATCCCGGGTTCGAATCCCCAGCTGAGTACATGTACATTGTGTGAACCGATTTCTGGTATCCTGCCGCCGTGATATTGCTGGAATATTGCTAAAAGCGGCGTAACATCATCATACTTACTCACTATGCTGGTCGAAGACATGAAATGAGGAATCGCATTCTCAGAATGGACTCGGTTATCCATAAGATCACCAGTTTCTCATATCCAGACTTGATTATTTACAAGCCGATCTCACCGGATCACTGCTTAGTGTGACGTCACACAACACGCCAAACAAACAAAACGGCATTTCAAAAAATGTTCTTTTATGATATCTGTAAGGTTTACAAAAACACACATGTTCCCATGAGTTTATGTTTCTTTTCTAGCCAATTAGGCTCCCATTATCTATAATCGGTCGTAAGAAAGGATTACTGCAAGCGCCAAGATCATCACAGAGTGGAACTGATGACGGCATATTGTTCAGGATGTCCTGTAGGTTAATGTCTTCTGGGTCTAGAAAATAAAATACATGTGATGTGATTGAGGTGAGGTGAGGTGAGGTGAGGTGAGGTGAGATTGGGTTTTACGTCGCGCTTGAGAATATTTCGCTCATATGACGACGCGCATGCGTGTGTATGTGTATGTGCGGCTGTTTGTACTAGCCCAGACTGAAGCTGGTTTTATAGTGCTAGCCCACTGAGATACCATGCCGGAGTGATGCATGAATACCCCACTCAGACACATTATACTGACTCCGAGCCTACCAGTCCTTGTTGTACCCATTAATGCCGAGCGCCAGGCAGGGACCAACAAGTACCATATTTTAACGTCTTTTGGTATGACGCGGTCGGGGATCAAACCCGCGACCTTTTACGCTCTCTGGGCGGACGCTCTAACCACTACACCATGGAGGCGGTCAAATACATGTAAGATATAACACATCGAACAGTGAATGTAATATGACAAAAGTTGACGATATATTTTTCATTATTGTAGTCTTTTTCAAATTGGTAGACAACAAACTGTTAGCAACGATAGCACTTTCCATCCCTGATGGAAACTGGAATTTACATCAATATGTTCTTCTGTTTGTTTGTTTATTGTATAGCGCAGCACTCAGCAATATTCCAGCTATACGACGTCTGTGTGTAAATAATCGAGTCTGAACCACACAATCCAGTGATCAACAGCATGAGTATCAATCTACGCAACTGGGATACGATGAAATGTGTCAACCAAGTCAACGAGCCTGACCACACGATCCCGTTAGTCGCCTCCTATGGGTCGCTTTTTACCCGGATATTTAAAGTTTTTCCTTTCTTCTGCAAAACAGATGATTTTTAAAAAAAATACAGTTTGTGTGAGAAGATAAAGTACCACTGAACAAAATGTAACTTGTCAACATGCCTTAAGAAACGTTGATGTTGGTGGAATATATATTGAAAGGTGAGGATCCCTTGCATCCCTTGTGATGAGAGAATCACAGTGAATCATGCCTTGCTTGACTGTATTGATTTTTCTATCACAAGGGATAAACATGTCAGTGCCAAAACAATTAAGGATCTTTTAGTAATGTTCAATAACATTTAATTATTGAATTTTTAAATGAAATTGAACTAACTGAAAATATTGTATTATATTGTAAAAACATTTTTCTCGATATGGCTGGAATAATGCCAATGTGACTTCAAATTTTAACTCATTATAGATAATTGACCATTCACCGTGATTGACACAAGTGTTACCGTGGATACCGTTGACCGCGGTGGGGGCGAGGTAATTTCAACAGCGTAGTATTAACGTTTGATAAAGCAATGTCATTGAGTTTGACCTTAGAAACAACTTCAACGTTTAAACCTTTTGAGATAAGTTAACTCTTATCTAAAATGGAACAAATTAGGATCTTTTAGGTGAATCCACAGAGTTGTTTCTTTCGTTTGTGACATATCCCAGTTTCGTAGATTGATGTTCATACTGTTGATCACTGGATTGTCTGGTCCAGACTTAATTATTTACAGACCGCCGCCATATAGATGCAATATTGCTGAGTGTGGCGTAAAACAACAAACCAACCAAACAATCATTACGTATGTAAAGTTAATGACTAATTTAGAGATGGACCTCACAAGATCATTTTGTATAAGGACCTTTCATTACGTATGTAAAGTTAATGACTAATTTAGAGATGGACCTCACAAGATCATTTTGTATAAGGACCTTTTAAGGTAACCAGGGCCGATGGGGTAGCCCAGTGGTAAAAGCCTTTGCTCGTCACGTCGAAGACCCTGGTTCGATTCCCTACATGAGTACAATGTGTGAAGCCCATTTCTGGTGTCCCCCGTAGTGATAATGGAATATTGCTGAAAGCGGCGTAAAACTAAACTCGCTCACTCAGTCGTCTGGGAAAGACGCCAACGCCTTGTTATTTAATTCAAGAATGGAAGTGCAGAAAGTGTTTCAATACTTACCTGGTACTGGCGCTGCAAGGGTGACACATACCAGCGTGACGAACAGAGCCAACTTCCGAATCATTGTTGATGCTGAAACACTAGATCAGATCCATCCTTCATTAACAGTGGATAACATCTCTGTTACGAGACTTGTCCGGATCCTGTCCTCCATCCAAATAGTGTGCGAGTTGGGTTTTACCCCGCTTTTAGCAATATCCCAGCAATATCACGGCGGGGGACACAAGAAATCGGCTTCACACATTGTACCAATGTATGGAGTCGAACCCGGGCCTTCGGCGTGACGAGCGAACGCTTTAACCACTGGGCTACCCAACCGCCCCTCCTTCCAAATGACACCCATAAAGAATATCAGTGTGATTGCTGGTGACTTTGTGAATAAATGCGACAAAAACCCTGATCTACACCCATATAGAAGTCTCCACATTCCTAAGATGTCTGTGATAGCAGTACAGTCGATTGTACGATTCCGACTTTATAGTTTGTGAATCATAATCAAGTAACTATGATAAGAGGTATTTCCGAATAGGTCACCTATAGGTCCCGAATGGGTAATTCTGCTTTCGGAGGACACTCGCCATAAACAAATCAAAGGCTGACTGTTGAGTTTAAAGTCTCTTTCTGATATGCGATTTAAAGTCACGTGTTGTGGGTCGTGTTATTTTGTGCTTTGCTACTGTAAAATTCCAACTTTTACTGTCAGAAGTGAGTGAGTTTAATTTTACGCCGCTTTTAGCAACATTCCAGCAATATCACGGCGGGGTACACCAGAAATGGGCTTCACACATTGTGCCAATGTATGGAATCGAACCCGGGCCTACGGCGTGACGAGCGAACGTATTAACCACTGGGCTACCCCACCGCCCCCTGTACTGAGTGAAAGCAATACTTTACGCAGTACCAAAATGAAATACATTACCAGGATGTAATGACAATATGACAAATTCACAGACACTAGCTACTTACCTGTATGTACACTTCTGTCGCTGGTTGAAGATAACGATAACGACCTATTTCTGGCTACATAATGTAGCACACGTCAAAGAATTTCTAGTTTCCTTAACGTGAAACTGTCAATTTAACCTTGCACGACACACTTAATGTGTCTGTTACCGAAAGCCGTTTGAATACTATATTTTTGTACAAAAACATGTAAAGATTTATTCGCTGATGCAATAGTATAGTTCTCCATACTTAATGCAGCACCTTGGGTTTGGGGGCAATATTCGCACGCACGCACGCACGCGCACGTACTGGTAATTTAAACGCACGCACGTACGCACGCACGCACGCACGCTCGCTCGCTCGCACTCACTCACTCACTCACTCACTCACTCACTCACTCACTCACTCACTCACTCTGGCTAGTTTTGACTACGATCGCTTATAAATATCCGAAGGGATGGTGTAAAACCAGCTAGGGTCCATGCAGGAAGCAAATGTACTGTAAGTCCCTCGTGGTTCCTAGCATGGTGATCTACCTTCAGTTGTTGACGATCTATTACCCATTTGTATACTGTCTTGTCCTAATTTGTAATTTTAGACAGAGGTGCTGGTTTATTTCTTGATACTGTGATATTCTACTTGGTTTTACGGTCCTTCTTTGACAGTTTTTTAAAGATAATTTACACGTATTTATGGTGAATTTAAAACTTTGTGACTGTAAATCTTGACTCACTCACTCACTCTACAGGGGACACCAGAAATGGGCTTCACACATTGTACCCATGGGGGGAATCGAAACCAGACCTTCGACATGGCGAGCGAAAGCTTTAACTTCTGGGCTACCCTACCGCCCCTGATGACGACGTTGCAAGTTATACCACGACGCCGTGGGGGATACTCCTTATATTGACGTCGACCACTGATCGTTTACAGGGTCCCATTATATAATTCAGTTGAACATTAGTTGCCATTAAGCCCAAAATACACAAAATCAATTGAACATGCTCTCAATTGAACATGCTCTCACTTCATGTTCCTATATCCCAGCGTCCATTCCATCTTCGTAAAGTTTGAATATTGCGAGCAAACAAAAACGATAGATTTGTACATCATCAAATCTGTTTTCTGCCCCTCGTCGTGAGTGAAGCATATATAATGAATGAATGAGTGAGTTTATTTTCACGCTGCTTTTAGCTTGGGGCGGTGGGGTAGCAGCAACATCACGGCGGGGGACACCAGAAATGGGTTTCACACTTTGTACCCATGAGGGGAATCGAACCTGGGCCTTCGGCGTGACGAGCGAACGCTTTAACCACTAGGCTACCCCACCACCCCAAGCATATTATGTAGACTCTCTCACTAGGGAAGTCGGTTATCCTTCGTCGTCTTAAAGGATATTTTAAATGATGTAAGTGTATATATGTCGTGCGTAATTTACGGAATTGCCCAATCCGCGATTAGTGTTTCATAGTTTACTGTGTATCACCCATATGTTACTTCAGATGTCCAATTTTTACACACTTGCCGCAAATATTCTCGAAAATGCGATCACTATCACTGGTGCGCTCGCTGTACAGAATCACTATGACTGGTGCGCTCGCTGTACAGAATAACTATCACTGGTGCGCTCGCTGTACAGAATAACTATCACTGGTGCGCTCGCTGTACAGAATCACTATCACTGGTGCGCTCGCTGTACAGAATCACTATGACTGGTGCGCTCGCTGTACAGAATAACTATCACTGGTGCGCTCGCTGTACAGAATCACTATCACTGGTGCGCTCGCTGTACAGAATAACTATCACTGGTGCGCTCGCTGTACAGAATAACTATCACTGGTGCGCTCGCTGTACAGAATCACTATGACTGAACCCTGTAGCACAGGGTTCCAGGGGGTGACATCTGATTATCAAAACATTTTTGCTCATTCCAAGGGATTACGCATTGAGGCGTGCCCAATCCGCAGATTAAGCAAGCAAGGTCGCGGTTGACGGGAATGGGGCAATACCTTTAATGTAGCGCTTGGTCTTTGGCAATATGGCGGACTCCAGGCACATTTGACGTCACGAGCGGAAAGGTCACGTGGGTTCCAGCGAAATATGCATAATGGCCCAAGCTGAGATTTACAGAAACTGTTTTGGCGTTTAAAACATAATTATACATATTTTTTAATTGAAAATTTGGGAATATGTTTCTGATGACTTTATCTTTCACCCAGCAAATTATTGCAATTCACTCGTATTCTCCTTTAACCACTTGGCTACCCCACCGCCGAAATATATAACGAGCTAACGAGGGTTGACTATGTTTGATGTGAACGCCTACCTTAATCATGGCCAGTAAAAACGGTGTTGCTGTAACCAGGGTTAACTTTTCCGTTGGTGATGACTTCTGTCCCGCCCACACAGTGATCATGAACACGCCGGCTTCATGGTGATAGAAGCCAAATGCTACTTCCTTATCTGCAAAGGAGAAGAAATGACTTCATCGATGTTGTTAATGACTCAAAACAGATGTAAAATTCAGCATCGGTAATATTTTTAATCAGTAAGTGTAGGGGAGACCAGGGTCAATTGTAACACGGGGCAATTGTAGCAAGGGCGATTACTCTGAAAGTTTTCGCTCAAGCATAGTGTAGGTGAGAAGAGTTATTTCCGTATGCTTTCCTGCGTTACACATCGTAGAAATATTTCAGAAGCCCAAAGTGGTTAACATATGGCATGGGACGTGGTTACTGCCATCGGGCTAAGTTGTAACACTGTTACAATTGCCCCCATGTAATTCTCCCTTGTGTTATGATGATGAAGAAAATTATGATGGAGGTTTTATGTTAGTTCTTTACTGGTTTTATCATGGTAGAACATTTTCAGTCTTATGTTGATAGTTTCAGCCCTCGTGTAAAAGCTTTTGGTGTTAGTCTTTGTATTATATTCTGGCCATACGAAAACAAGAATTTTAAACCAAAAACATTTTAAATGTCGATGGTGACAAAGGTTTAATGATAATCCATTTCCACCTCAATTGATCAAGATAACATATTTCCACATTTTATTTTGATTTATTTGGAAAATATTGTTACATTTGAACCACCTATGTTACAATTGCCCTATCCACCTGTTACAATTGCCCCGTGCTAGGGGCAATTGTAACACTTGCAGTTATTGCATTTGATACGTAATAACTTTGTAACGACATGATAGTGACTTTAAATGACACTGAGGTTTAAAGCCAAGATGCCAATGTACTAGTTAGTACCGATTAACTTTGTGAGCGGTCGACTAGTATCTAATTACAAGACGTTAAGTAAAAGTGTTACAATTGACTCCGGTTTCCCCTATTGACCCTTTGTCCTGGCGACTGGGTCGTCACTCAGCCTACGAACCAACAGTGTACAGGTCTTCCCTGGGCTAAAACTAACCACAGTGATCAGGGCATTCAACCTGTGTACTCAGGACAACCCACTCATCCGAGGGTAGAACAAGCACATACGCCCGAAACACGAATATGTACATGCACCCAAAACACGTATATGTACATACACCCAAAACACGAATATGTACATACATCCTAAACACGAATATGCACATATGCCCGAAACACGAATATGTACATACATCCGAAACACGAATATGTACATACACCCGAAACACGAATATGTACATACACCCGAAACACGTATATGTACATGCACCCGAAACACGAATATTTTCATACATCCGAAACACGAATATGTACAAACATCCGATGCACGAATATGTACATACTAAAGATTACCTGAGAACTGAGTTAATAATTTTTTAAAGTCTTTCCCCTTTGAGCTAGGCTTCATGTTACCGTTCTCAATCTTGAAAATCTCCCTGCAAGTCAACCAGAAACAATGCGTAAAATATATCTTGAAATCTTTCAAAACCCTTTCTTGTTTATGACACAATCAATGCACAGTGTAATATATAAGATATCATTCTTGATTTACAATAATAATATACCATTCTGTTATGAATATATGTTAATGTTAATTTATATAAAATGTAAAGTTATCCAAATTCTGTAAAGAACACTGTAAAGGAGGAACTTTACAGGTTGTGTTACAAATTTACACATCAAAGTGAATCAAATTCTTAAAAGAGTTAAAACGTCAACGCCCTGGATAGTCAGATTCGTTAATCAATTCAAAAACAGATTTTGTTTTTTGTTTTTTTGTTTGTTGTTTTGCCACACTCAGCAACATTCCAGCTATATGGCGGCGGTCTGTAAATAATGGAGTCTGGACCAGACAATCCAGTGATCAACAGCATGAGTATCGATCAATATAGCTGGCATATTGCAAACAGTGATGACAGTGTTTGAAAGTGTGAGCACGACATCCATACCAACTCCCACCACCCTGAATGGTTGATAATGTATCTTCTGCTTCTTTCTTGGCGGAACTAGGAAGCAGGTTGCCCATGTTAAAGAAATCCGCAGTTTTTTCCCTGCATGTGAACAGAAACAGAAATTTAGTTGCGGAAATAGATATGCGCATCACATGAAAACGTATGCCATACACGAGGTGTACCGTAAGTATAATATAAGGGACGTGACCTTTCAGAAATCGCTGCTAAAAGTAGAGTGCATTTGAAACTGTGACTATATTATGAGCATATGTTTGGTTTTTTTCATGTTTAATGCTTCTCTCACTCAGCGATATTACAGCTACATACGATGACAGGACATGCGTTTATGAATCAATATGAAACAGAGATGATACCAGGTGCTCGCTTGTCAAATGTTCATCTGGAAAGATGGTATGGTACAAATGAATATAAGGCATTGCATCGCAAATCATTTTCATCACTGATGCGTCAAATGTTGAATGGTCCCACATGTCTTTGAAATCTTTTGTAAAGAAATCTTACATCTTGGAAGATCCACTCCGAATCTTGTCGCAAGAGGTGCGTTAGGTCGTCACTCATTAAACGTTAACCAGTTTGTTAATATTATAAAGTTTTGGGTTCGTGGGTTGAATCAGGTGGATAATGTAGTGTTAAAGAAAGCGTATGACTATCAGTATTCACTTGCTGAGAAGGGACATAACTGTTGGGCACTCCAAGTTAAGAGACTTTTATTCAGTTATGGTTTTGGTTACGTGTGGATTAATCAGAATGTTA